TTATTGTGATACAGGCTTTTAGAATGGTTTTATTTGAGTTTTTTGGCTGTGTTATAGCAAATGTATTACTGTGTTAGTGTGCCTTGTTTACCACGTTTGGGCATGAGTCATCACAATGGAATGCAGGGCATCAACCAATAGGCATGCAGCTTTCCTCTATACTTCTTGCTGATTGGCTGTTGGGATTTAACTTGATTAACACCTGCACAGAAGCATTTCCATACTGACAGTATGTCTGTATTCAAGTGTTTTGGTAGGTATTTCAAGCTTTCCTGCTCCAGCATTGGAATGCCGGGCATGGTACGTTTTTTTTTTTTTTTGAAAATCAACAGTTTGCATTATGCAATTAAAAATCCTAACCAATAAAGTAGGGAATAGCTATCCAACTGTTGTTTTAGTTGTATTTTACTTCATATTATAGTTATATCAATGTAAATCATTGTTTTCCCTTGTGTTTCCCATTCTTTCCCTGCCATGTCGTAAAATGTGGTGAACCCATCGCTGTATTTGCTCCAAAGCAAATATTGGCCTTTCTAGTTTATCAGGTAGTTTGTGTCGAATACACATGATCCACCTAAATCCCATTGAAACTAGAGTTCCACGATTTCATACCTTCGCCAAATGATGTTAGGCCATGTTGATTTGATTATATGGATGACATCCTCTGGAAACCCCAAAACTGATGCGAGCGTGCGAATCAAAAAAAAGTTTGGCTAAAAAAAAAGTTGTTTTCATTATGAAATCTACGTGGTTTTGAAGGTTGAACAGATGACACAGAGTATGGTCTGGCGACTAATCTAGTCTTCAAATTCATTTCTTTACATTTTCGTCTTTTTTGGTTTGATTTTGGCATTCTAAGACAGTGGTATCATTTTTTGCAACTTACGGTATGTCTTTGCTCATTTTGCAACTGTTTTGTACGATTTACAGCATGGTTGAAAACTTTTTTTTGGAAACGGCCGAAAATTCATGCGCGCGCGGATGTCATCCATATAATCAAATCAACATGGCCTTAGCCTTTATGACTAAGATTATATAGCTATATTATAGCTGTGACTATATAGATTAATCCCCCTGATTGTGCAAATAGGATCCTACATTCTATCAATTATATCTGTTGATCATATTCTACACCAGAAGACACTCAGTCTTATATCTTATCAATGCATGCCATTATAGCATGTTCCAATAAATTATGCAAATGAGGTTCTTATTTGAATAGTTTAATTATGTTCACCTTCACATAACCTTCAAATATCCCAAGTTTGAAATTGCAGACATTACCACTATATAATTATAACATTTTCTCATTAATTATGCAAATTAGGTCTTCATTTGCATAATCGATATCTGCCTGTATTTCTGCCGTTCTGAATTACATATGTCACAAGCTTGAATAGTCCTATCATGGAATGCAGCTTATTTATAGAATTTACTCATTAATTATGCAAATTAAATTAATATTCGCATAATTGTAATATTCTGTCAAGCATCATTTTAGCTACCTACATGCAAAATACCACGACGATCCATCAATCGGTTCTTGAGTTATCCGCCTTTAAACATTTTTCAACTAATGCCTCTGCAGTTCCAGAGCAAGCCGCTAGGGGGCCAAAACTCACGTCAACTGTTCTCCAGCACAAGAGATACCTACCATTCAAATGTCTTTACCCTAGCATGTCTAGATCACGAGATATCAAAACCGGAAGTTCAACTGCAGTACTATAACAAGCCGCTAGGGTATCCAAAATCTAATCATTTCCACGTCTCATAAAGACCTACCCACTTACCAAATATCAAGAAAATCCATCTCAGCCTTCTTGAGTTATCGTGTAGACACACACACAGACACACGGACGCCTACGAAAACATAACCTTCTTGGCGAAGGTAACAAATAAGAGATAGAAATCCCATAACAGCTGTCCCAACAAATCCGCCTGAATGTTACATAAACTAGTTTGTTAAGCAAAATGTAAGATTCTATAGTATTGTCTTACATTAGAAGTCAGTGCTTGATTTATAAGTATATTGCTTTACTGTTTTGATGGCTTCGCAGAATGACTACCAAATTTTCTGAGGATGGTGTCCAATAAAAATTTATCATAACTAGAAAGGCCGAAATTTGCTTGGGACCAAATACAGGATATTTCAGTCCATCTCCCTCCCACGCAAAAGTGGACTATTCCAAACTTACCCTAGTGCAAAACTGGAAGATTCTCAAATAATGAAGGTATGCAAATACTAACAATGCTGAGATTTGATACATTTTGAAGGTCTTATTGCAAAGAAAAGGAAACTATACATAACTATATAACTAAATATAAACTATACAACTATACATACATATTGAACTATGCATTACTTACATACTAGTACACTATGACACTATAGTGACTATACATAAATATTGATTAAGATATATATTATATGTTTGAATATACTATAACACATTCATATAATGAATAATCTACATACATGTATGATTGACTTAATTATATACCACACATATCCTATGCCACAACAAATGTTGGATGTTGAATATTCTATACATGACTTTTAAATACAATGTGAAACTGTTACATTTGTATTGAATAGTCTACACATGGTTGGCATAATTATACCTGTATTCCTTACATTTATTATGTTACTCCATATATTATAATATAGATATTTGATAAGCTATATATGAATTGTATATGCAATGATTTACACAAGTATATACATATACTATGTGCTGTATCCTGCTGATGATGGCTGAAAAGTACATATCGTATACCGCCTGGTATATCATCTTTCGTTCCAAAAAATATTTTCTTCATTGTATGTTATAGAAACTGACTCAGAGGAAAATCAATAAGGTCCTATTCACCTTGGGCTACAAAATGTGTATTTAGAATTCATCTATCCAGCAGTTTACTACAGAATATATCGTGATCAAGAATAACTATCTCTTTTATTTTTCAGATGATGTCCTCAGTCACTGTGCTTTTTCGTAACAAAATACTTGGTCAACAAAGTCCTATCCCCCTTGGGCTACTTAATGTATATTTAGAATGAATATGCATCTAGTATTATCCGTCCAGCATTTTACCACATCATTCATGATCAAGAATAACTCCTTTATTTTTCAGATGATGTCCTCGGTCACTGGCTGTGCTGTTTCTTGACAAAATGAAATACTGGTGGTCAACAAAGTCCTATCCACTTTGGGCTAGTAATTGTGTATTTAGAATTCATCTACTATCTATCCAGCAGTTTACATATACAGAATATATCATGGTCAATTTCTGCCACCATCATGTTGGTTATTGGTATCCTTTCCTAATTCTCTCCCCATCCATTCTGCAGTACTGTGGGTGTGAGCCCCACGGCTGAAAAGTCCTGACCAACGATGGATAGTCCTGTGATAGGAAGGAGAGAATGTCATTTAATCCTAATAATCAACTTTATTCATAATCATGCCATGCTTTAACGTTAGCATTTAAAAACGTGAAACCTGCTATTGCTAACCTGAGGTAAAAAATATAAGGTAAAATAGATTATAAGCAATGTCAATCAATTATTTATGTTAAAAAAATATTAAGCAAGGTTCATCAATTATTTACAAAAAAAAATTATTCAGGAGTAGTTATTCTGTTAAGAAAATATTGCAAAGCATGGTAAATCTGGGCACAAACAAATTGTACCGCCACACCCTCCCCTCCTAACAATGGTAGCGCCATAGAATGCAGTACAGACTGCATATTTGTTGGTACATGAACTCGCCAAAAAAACGAGGGGAAATCACAAATTTATTGGTAAAATGGCTAAATGAGTACTTACAACACCTCAGTTCCGTAACCAAAATCCAAAAATTTTGACGACTAAGCCAGCGGACGTGTAGGAGCAAAACATTACGAACGAGGTAAACATATGCTGCAGTTTGTATCGAGTGTCAGGCGGTAATATCTACTTTAAAATTCATGTAAACCAACTAAAAACTACACAGCAGACAGAAATAATTTCTTACCCGGCCTGTTTGATGTATTGGTAGCCTCATTCCAGTCCGATGTCGCAGTAATCGCGTCATCCTGAGATCGACTCTCGCCGCCCGCCCGGCTGGGCCGACACCATTTTGGAAAACCCAGTCGATAATAGTAAAAGCAACCCCCTATTCTGGGCGCTATAATCGCTCGGATATATGCGAATCTGGTACCACCAGAACTGCAAATTTTTGAGTTTTACAAAACTATAAGCATTACAATTTTTA